TTCATTGTATAAATCATATTCACCAGGAATATCAATTTTGGAGAAAAAAGGCTGAAAGGCTGAACGAAAATATTTCAATTTTTCAAGTAATCATGATCAAAAGCCTACTGCCGATTCTCTCCCCCGCATCTTGTGCATCCGTGATGTCCGTAAAAAGCTATTGTTTGATTTTCGCATGAGTAACCTTTTCTGAAACCATGCTGCCCCCAAATAGTCAATTTTCTCTACTCCTCACGTTTCTAATGTGTTCTGCGATTAGAATCTCCATCTGCTTACAGACAACTGATGTTAAGGTAACAGGCCGATAATTTTTAACTTTTGATCGAGACCCACCCTTATAAATGGAAACTACAAATGCTTCTTTCCAATCGTGAGCAATCTTGAATTATTTAATGTAATATCAAAAGGTCATAACAAATAAAGAATCATGGCTTCACGTTTTTCTTTTAAGTTTCCCGAAATACTCCGAAATCCACTGATTTATTCTTTCCAATTCTCGCTATTATTTTTCAAAGATCACGTGGTCTAGTAATCATTTTTTCTCCCTACCCATTTAAAGCAGATAAGTATTTTTTGCTTCAAATACCGAACAAAAAAGGAATTAAAGAGCACCGCTTTGTCTTTGCCCTCTGTAATTTTGGTTTTATTTGCATCGCTCAACATTGGAATAACCTCCCTATTTCTCTGTCGTCTTTTTAGGTATTTGAAAAACATATTTGCCCCCTGCTTAGACTCGGATAATATACATTGCAAAAAATGTTCCTGTGCGGCCAGTTCCTGTTGGAGAATCTTGAATATTTTCTTATTTTCTGTACTTCTACCGCGCTTTCCGTAAGCTCTTCTGACTTTTGAATTCAATTTCCTTATCTTTTCACTACAGTACTCGGGATCTGCGTTCTTTTTAAGATATTTCTGTGGTACGAAACTAAATATTAAAAAAAATGTCTTTAATACGTGGTGTAGCCAGAATGCATGTTTTCTGGGGACTTGATATCGAAACATTGATTAATGGCAAAAGATCTGTCTGTACGCCGTCTGTGGTCAACGCTAGCGCCTAAACTGTCCGGCCGAAAATTTACAAAATTGATATTCCTCTAAACAAACTTAGAGAAATTGGGAGTTTCAATCGCATATTCTGATTTGTGAGGGTACTGTACATAAAGTCGCAAATTCATTTTCAACATTTTCTCAAAAAACGGCACCAAATTTTATGATTAAACTTTGTTCTCGGAGAGCGTAAAGGACGGTTAAGAGAATGGTGGAAGTCTCATGTTTATTGAAACCCCTAATGTTTTCTAAAATTAAAAGTGCATTTTTGGGGGCATATTCCTACAACTACAATCTTAAAGATAGACATTTTTTTATTAATGAAATGTGTTGTTTAAAGACTGTTTAATTCAAAGACAGTTCTTTAGAGACAGTCTTTGAAGATCGCACTACCAGGAGCAAAAGAGTACTAAGGAAGCAAACTGTTGAGAGAAATGAAGTCAAATGTCGAATTGGGAAGGAATTCTGTTGTATCCTCCGCTACATAGGTATGCTTGTGACTTTTCGCTGGAGCATGCAGCGTTACAAGGGATTTGTTTTCCAGACCAGATTCTTGTGGATGGGCCTTGTTCTGTTGGTTTATTAAAAGATCTATTAGTCATTCCGCCAGCGACGTCTAAGAGAATTAGCCCCGTACGTCGAGTGAATTTTTTTTCCATCGAGAGGTGATCCCCTCTGGATGGTGAGATCCAGCGCCGAAGTACCGTCGGTGGGATTTTCTCTAAGCAGTTATCTTCCAGTAACGTGCCTCCGACCAACCTGAGACAAGGTCTGGGCTCCCGACTGGTCTCCGAAGTAGTGTGGTAGTGTAGGGTAAATGAGACTGTGTGTGTAAGGAATGAGGTTAGGGCAAGGGAAAAGAAGAAAAGACCGCGTGCGGTTCGTTTGTTAGGGTACTGCTACGACATTCGCTATTAGTATTGATCGGAGAAACCACGAAAATCTGCAGATCAGAGCTGTGGCCCGCTACAATTCTCCTCCAGGCACCGACTGAATATTCGACATAGCTGATAAACTAGTGTCGAAAACCTGCCACCGTGGAGACTCGAACCTAGGAGCTTCCGGTCAGAGGCACTGCAGGGACATAAGTTGATGCCCTGAGCCACCTGTCCTGGTTTGTTCAGTTGGCGTGAGGCTGGTGCGCGAGAGGCCGAAAATGCTCCTCTGTGTTGCAGGAGCCGTAGCCCTCGAGGGGCACGCAGGGCATGCGTATCTGCCTTCGCCACCGCCGCCGCCGCCGCAGCCACCGCTCCCAAGCAGCTGCCAGCCACGCTCGAGGAGGTGCTGGCATCGGGCTGCGTGTTTGGCGGCGCGCTGCGACCCCGCCCGCGCCCGCGTCCGCGCCGCACTCGCCCAGCCCACGGTGGTGTCGACGGCAAGGTGGGGTGAGAAGAACCTAGCGTTCCATGGAAAACCGGTTTTGCGTTTTCTTTCACAATTGTATACGTTGTTTTTTGCCCACTACAAACACAACAACGCGTAACTGGGCCAAACTGACTTCAGAAATGAGGCAAATGAAAAAAAAATATTCATGGACCGGCGGTTCTGATGTTAATTTGATTTAAAATTTTTATTTGTGGCACATAAATGAATTCAATAATGATTACTTGTTACATTATATATTAAAAAAGTCAAAGATATTAAAAAATATACGTTTATTACTTTTTCCGATATGCCCGTTTTTTCCTTCCAAAAGACAGGTATAATTTGAAACTTCATAACTTACGAACCGTTAAACATTTCTGATGATTTCATTTGAAGATTATTACTTGGATTATACGTTAGTGACTGAACCTAAATTTGAAGATTCATAAGGGACTTGTAAGAACTTTCCAGGGTTTGGAATTAGAATGTTAAAAATCATTGGTAACAATAACAATTACCATTGCATTTCTAATTTTTTCTGTAACAATTTCAGGTTGAGGCACATAAATTGACTTTCTGCTATTAGATAAAAAATGAATCATAAATATATCTTTAAAATTAGAACAGTTTGTTTCGAGTCCGACCACAAAAGAGAAAAAAAGTAGCTTTAGGGAAAAGCCATATTAAGATACATTAGCTTTGAAGTGGTCGTATGTGAACACGAGTTTCCTAATTACAAGAAAGAATTTGTCCATAAGGATATTCTGCTTTTGAAGTGACGACTTATGGACTTTACATTAATTTAAACCTTATCCGGACAACCGGAGTCCATTGGACTCTGCTGCAACATTTTCAATATTTTACATGTAAAGTGTGGAGGGAGTTTATAGGAATAGTTTTTTATGAGTTTGTTTGCTATGGCGTTTTTTAATTCTACCCGCAACCATTTTATAAAACCGCTACTGAATAATAAATAAAAAATCTTTACCTTTTTCAGCCGAAACCGGACAAGAGGGGTCCATTGGGACCATCCATGTGATTTATTGTATGTTCTGGTTTGGTTTGGTCGATTACTTGACAACCGTTTAGTGACCAAGGGACGGACGGATGTTGGGTTGAGCAACGTCATTTCAGCGTGGTGTTATCTGTGACTAAGTGTGAGAGTTTCTAAGAACAAGGCCTCGTAAACAGATTTGTTGCAGGTTAGTAAGGGTCAGCAAAGTGAGATGTCGAAAGTGATGAAGTCCTGTGCAGTCCAAATTTTGCGAGAAAATGCATAGCGACAGGTATGTTGCTGACTCTTACTGGATGTTAGAAAATATGAGTTCATACAATTATTTATTGTTGATATTGCATAGGATTTCGTTCCTACACAAAATGTAAGGAGACAGTCAATCAGGATTGAATAACACGTTTCGCCTGACAATCGTACACGTTATGAGGGAAGAAGCAGCTCTCACAATTGAGACAATTTATAACAATGCCAAAAAAGGTGTAATTTGTACCTTTGGAAATGATTTAGGAAACAAAGACATGTAGCATTTGTTCAAAACGAGTCTCTGCGCGATCTGTAATAAAAGTAAAAATGTTTTAAAATCCAATTTAAAGTAGTTTGAAATGTTTTGTTAAATTAAACAACTTTATTAGAAGGTTCTGTTTCATTATTCGCTCTCAAGAAGTACATCTGTAAGCATAATCCTTTCGCAGACAATCCTGGGTCCGCTGGCTCCTGCTTGCCCGGTTGCGTCAGTAAAATTGATTGCCTGAAAATATCGTTAAATTAATTTTTAAAAATTTCTCACGAATTAATCTTAAGTTTCTATTATTTTTGCGATCACGTCCACTTGAACTGCAAGTGGCCGTATGTCTCGCATTCAAAAAAGTGCAAATAAATAAAAAAATGTAGCAAATTTTGAAAAAAATTGTTCTAAACGTTCAAACATACACATCACAATGCACAACACACAATGAAAATTCCAATTATTTACGGAAACATGTTATTTTCAGGCAGACGAGTACCTTAAGTAAAAAAGCCATGCCACGATCGTTTACTTTTGCTTGAGTTGTCATCGTTGAAATGCGTTTGCTCAGGTCGAAGCCCCGCTGCCCCCCCGCGCCGCCTTTCCACCCTCCCGCGCGCGGGTCGCCGCCACCGCCGCCGTCCTGGGGCTGTCCTTCTCAGCGCCTGCCTTCGCTGCCTCCGCGGCCTACGCGGCCTCCGCGGCCTCCGCGCTCGCCGCCTCCAGCTCCTTCGACGAGCGGAGCAGCCGCGGCCGTCGCCCCGCCGCCGCAGAGCCTAGCCCCCAACGGCTTCTGCGCGGAGCCCTGCGCGGGGCGGTCGCCTTCAACGTCATGGCGGTGGGCGGCACCGGCCTGGGCAAGTCCACGCTGCTGCACGCCATGTTCGCCAGCCAGGTGTTCTCGGAGCACTTCCCGGGGCCGTGCCCGCGGATCAAGAAGACCCTGCAGGTGGAGAGCAGCCAGGTGTTGGTGGAGGTGGCCGGGCTGCGACTGCGGCTCACGCTGGTCGACACGCCGGGCATCGGCGACGCCGTCGACAATTCCAAGTGCCTCAAACCGATTCTCAGCTACATCGACGACCGCAACTACGACTACCTCAAGCAGGAGACGGACGCCAACGGCAAAGCTCGGCCCGACCGCAGGATTCACTGCTGCCTGTACTTCATCGAACCCACCGGCCACGGCTTGAAGCGCCTCGATATCGAATGCATGAGGAAGCTGCACGACAGAGTGAACGTCATACCGGTCATTGCGAAAGCCGATACGATGACTACTTTTGAATGCTATCGATTCAAAAAGCGACTCCTCCGAGAAATTGCAGAACATCACATAAAATTCTACGAATTTCCGGAAGTGAAAGCAAAAGACGAGCAGCTGAGATCCCTCAAACACCGACTTCCATTTGCCATCGTGAGCTCCAACACAGTGGTGGAGGAAAATGGCCGGAAGATGCTGGCGCGCAGGTACCCGTGGGGAATCGCAGAGATCGAGAACCTGGAACACAGTGATTTCTGTCTGTTAAGGAAGGTTTTGCTGCAAACCCACTTGCACGATCTCAAAGAAGCGACCAATGTGCACTATGAGAGCTTTCGCTGCAGAAAACTTGCTCCCATTGCCTTCGATGACTTTAAAAATGTGGACCGTTTCAAAAGGAAGAAATACAAATATTAAATTGAACACGTTTTGAAACTTTTAATTCTTTACGCTTGATCAGTATTCTTCATACTTTTATCGCGCTAAATTATGTACCCTCGTCATCTTCAAACAAATAATTATTAAATTAATTGACACTCAATCTTTTCAACTTATCGCACACATTCTTATTAATAATTGACTGTCTACTTCGTCGAAGTGTCACACACTGCTCGTACGCAGGAAAACTCCATTATGCTCGTGTTTGCCCCCTTGCGCTTGTGAATTGCTACAGAAGTTTCATGTGTAAAACAACTTAATGCAAACAACTAATGTTGGATATGAAATAATTTATTTCTCTCTTCAATGAAACAAATTTAAATCTATGTATTACAGCTTAATTTGTTTACTTATGTTCCCTTAAATTAAATTGTAATATCCTTCATATTCTAAATTGAGAAATAAAGCAACTCTTACACTTTATATTCACAAGTGTTTTACTTCCTCTTTTTAAGCATTCAAATCTAATGATAAGACAAGGGGCTTTATTATAGAAGGGACTTCCTTCAGTAGTATTTCCCATTGACGAATCAAGTCTGGGGCAATTGCACCATTCCAGTGCATCTAGCGTTCTTATAATGACTGAAAAAGCGTTTTATATGTAATCGTCTCTGAATTGACTACACCTAGTTTCAAAACTTTCGTTTAACTAAGCGAGTTTTCTTAATAAAATATTTAAAATATTTTAAACTCACTCACCATTCATTGAATTCTTCAAACACAACTACCTAGGTCATATGAAAAGTAAATAATTTACTAAAGTATTTATTATTATCATCAATTTAAGTTTCAATGATTTAATTATTGAATCTCTCAGAAATCATAAATTATCTTCACGGAATGATGAGGAGTCCTCAACGTTTTAGGGCGCAACACATTTATCAATTACTAATAATAGTTCAGTTTTATATATTTTAGAGCTACTTTGTCAATTTTGATAAAATAGCTCTAAAAGATATAAAACTGAACAGTAACTCAATAGCACCAATTATAATGAAAATTATGAACCTAAGTATTAATGAAAGAACTTTTCCAGATAAATTAAAATAATCAATAATCAGACCTATTCATAAAGGGGAAAGTTTTTCAATCTATGAAAACTACAGACCAATTTCTATATTAAATACAATAAGTAAAGTATTTGAAAAATTCATATCACAAAAATTAACCAGATTCTTCGAAAAATATCAAACAATAGACAGAAATCAGTTTGCATATCAAAAAATAGAAGCACCATAGACTTATTCAAAAATTTGGTAGAAGTAATTAATGAAAAGTTACACTAGGGATTGCATGTAACAGCATTAAGCATTGACTTGTCAAAAGCGTATGATGTGATTGACTATGATCAAATGTTAGATGCACCGGAGAGCATAGGAGTCGGGGGCAATGTTTTAAAGTTATTCAAAAACTATCTAGAAGAGAGATTCTTTAGAGTAAAAATAAAGAACATTTATAGCGAAACAAAAACTGTGAAAAGGGGAATTCCACAAAGGAGTTTGTTAGGGCCAATCCTCTACCTAATATTCGTGAATGATTAAAAAAAATTATCTAGAAAATGGATCCTATTTCATATATGCCAATGACAAGATGCTATTATCCCTAAACAAAGACCAAAAGAAGACAGAAAAAGAGTCATAAGAAAAATTCAGGATATTCCAAAAATGGTGCCATGACAAAGGGCAAATTATAAATGAGAAAAAAACTTAAATACTGCATATCACAGTACCAAAAATTGCAAGAACCCAAGTTAAAATACTCTTTCACAGAGCTGATAGTATACACAAAAACTTTAAGAACTGTCAATGTAACAGTTCAATTAGTTCTGTAAGTAAATTGAAGTATTGGGGTGTATCTTTTAATCAGAATCTGAGCTGGAGAGGGCAGATGTTGGAATTAAGCAGGAAAGTAAGAACATGTGTGTGGAAACTAATGAGGATTAGAGATTTAGTATCTTACAAAATTTTCAAATTACTCTCCTTCGCATTAATAGAATCTCTGATCAGATATGGAATTGGAGTATGGGGATCTGCATCGAAAACCCAAGTAGATATCATTCAAAATTTGCAGAACAAATGCATTAAAATCCTCAATAACAAACCTAACCCTGGAGAGTACAGCAGTGCATGGAATAATGACCGTTAGAAAATTGCATGAATTCCAAATTTTACAAAGAAATTTTGTCAATGAAGAATATAGAAAAATCTGTTAACACAATTATGAAACTAGAAAGAAACACAATTTCACACTACCACAAACTTTTAATAAATTTGGAGAAAGAATGCTTAAAACACCTATTCCAAAACTGCTCAATTCTTTGCCGGATGAAATGATAGAAGTTGCACCAAAAAAAATTGAAAAAAAAACTAAAAGACTGGTTTACTAGACAAAACAAAAAATAGAACAAAATAAAATAATGACACATATAAACAAAACAAAATAATTAATTATTTATAAGAACAAACAAAATAAAAACAGACTTTATCCACAATATGTCAATTTTTTACATTAGTCCAACACAATCTCTTTTTTGCCAGTAGCATTTTGAATGAAATATTTTTTAACTGATTTGTTAATTATTATCTTTTATTGTTTCATTTTCTTATGTATACCAATTAAAAATTATTGCCATTTGCCCTTTGACAATCTAATTATGCAATGTTTGTTGTTGTTTTTATTATTATTACCATATTATTGTTGTTGTTATTATTATTATAAGTATAGGAATTACATTAAAAATGAAGAAATAGATTATTTAGATAATAATTTGTTTTATTTTTGCTTGATTAATTGTCTACAAGTTTTCAATATGTGAATTATGTAGAACTTAATTCTAATTTTTGCCTGTTGCCAACTACCATCTTATTTTATATATTTTCAACGTATTTGTTATTTGAGATAATAATTTGATGATTTTGATTTCTTTTTGTCTTACGAGTACTGTCATTACAAGATTTTTTTGTTGTTGTTAATTATATACAACTAAATTTTTGCTTTTAACACCAGTCATTACAAGGTTTTAATTTGTTAATTATGTAGAATTTCCTGTTGTTCTTTAATTCTTATTTTTTCTGTTGCCTATTCTCATTAGTTTGATTTTTTCAATATTAATTTGATTGTAATTTGTCAATTAGTGATTATGTAAATTGTTAATTTTTCACTATAATGACTTATTTTTGTTAATGACCCTTATTACCTAGTATTATTACCACTTATTATTTAATTAATTGTCTCATATGGCTATTGTTTGTTCAATAATCAATGTATAATGCAGACAATTTGACAATTTCTTTCATCTTAAAGTTTGTTGCCATATGTATGGCTTATAATGTATATTCATTTTTTGAAAAATTTTTAATTTAAGTTCGCGCAGTATACAGTAACTGGTTAACAGTACAGATGATTGGGTGAACTGTAGTCAACAACGGTAATACGCGAGAAAACAAACCCACAAACAAAAGTACAATGTAACACACCCCTCTCTGACAAGTACAAAAAGTACTTAGAGAGCGCTTGGTGTGTACTGTAGTATTATTTCTGCCTGTTTTATGGTTTTTATGGTGATGTTTTATGTTGTTGTTCTAAATTTTTATGTGAATAGTAACATTTGATGTACACTATCCATGTAATTCTTTTGAAAATAAAAATTATTATTATTATTATTATTATTATTATTATTATTATTATTATTATTATTATTATTATTATTATCATCATCATCATTATTATTATTATCATTATTATAGGCACCATAACGTCCATTCACAGAAAATCATTATTTTCGACCCCTTTCCATATCCAATAAATTTATAATATTTATTCTGAGACACGTGTATAAAACGTATTAAGTTTGAGACCAGGTAGGCGCACATGCAAACCCGCAACACCCAAGGATCTGCACGCAACCCGCAACACGCATATCCATGAGATACTTTCCTGTCGACGTAATCTGCAATATTACGCCATTTTGAACTTTATTTTACAGTTTTGTGGGGGGATGAGGTCAACTCTACTGATCACGTTCACTTATTTGTATTAACGCATAGAGGCATTCAAAATTAAGAATTCTACGTTAATTGAAACTGACAATGTAAGTATTTCGACAATGTATGAAAAAGTACTTTAAAGTTCTGTCGTTTGACTAGAAAATAAAGCTCTTCAATGGTATAGACATGTCCAGAGTATGCGATGGACAAGAAAGATGGAAAGAGATGGCCAAAACAAATGTTAAATTGGATACCTGAAAGAAGACGTAGAAGAGGTAGACCTGGTTTAACCTGGAAGACATATATACATGAAGTTATGGAGGAGAAAGGATTGGAAGAGGGTCAATGGGAGGACTGAGAATTATGGAAATCGAAAACGGCGAACTCTAAGGGATAGAAACCGTCGAAGAAGAAGAAGAAGAAGAAGAAGAAGAAGAAGAAGAAGAAGAAGAAGAACTTCTGTCGTTTTACAAGAATTTTCAATGTAATTTTATTGCTGTCCATAGTTACACTTCTCTAATAGGTGGACTTATGATCAATGCCAGTACAACTCAACCCAATAGGGAATGGACCTCGCACAATCTTCTCACAATCCGACCTCGGAGGCGTCCGGAGTCCACATATTACACAGCATCGCGCCGATAACGCACAGTTCAGGATCTGGACGTTCGTAGTTGGATTCCACCCTGAAGTTATTTTCACTTTTAAAGTAATGATTTACATAATCGGGTTATTCATATGAGTCCAACTAGTTAAAGTTTTTGTCACTGTAACTTCGTCTTCTTTTTAGAAGTCACAAAAAGGAGAGCTGGGATCCCAAGGGAGAGCGGTTAGGGCGCATATAAACGATTCGAATGGAAATGCCTTTTTGAAAGATTATCATTTTCTGAAACCTAATCTTTTTATCACTGCACTCCAATTGAGATCAAATATCGCTGCCAATAAAACTACTCTTAGTAGAGAAAGGCCCAGAGAGGATGTTTACTGCAGGAA